GACTCTTATTTTAGCAATGTGATGTATACATCAGCAAAGCACAACAACATTTACGGGTAATTCATGTTTGTGCGATATGCGTCTCTAAACAGTGAGAGTTTAGTCTCAGTTGAAAGTGCGTGTTCAACAAGTAAATTGCATCAAATCAAGTATCGTGCTATCGTAATTTATTTATTTTTTCTCTATATTATTGCCCAAAAAACATTTGTTGTGGCAAATTCATCCATTATCGGGCATATGTTGACGGTCAATATTGGGGTCGGATTTGAGTGTAGTTTCAGTCATTTTCAACGTCGCAATGGAAAGAAAAAAGAGAAAAAATAAACTCAGTTACTAAGTATGAATCAACATCAATATACTATCGGTTCAGTTCAATAAATGATACTCACCTACGGGTTATTTTATATACCGAACTGCCCGTACTTCGGTCAAGGCCACAAAACTCAAGCCCAGCATAGTAACAAAACGTTACAATAATATTATTTAAAAAGAAATCTTAATGCTACATGTAATTAAAACTGGTCGTCATCGGAAACATCGAGAACATAAACGTAGTTCTCATCGTCACTGGAATCCTCATCGTCAGCTGCTTGATTTTGTACGGCAGCATTTTGATTCTGTGGTCTCAATAGTTGCGGATGAATGTCCAATCCCAACACCGTACAAAGACCTAAAAACAAAATCGTAAACAACAAATTGTTAGCCAAAACATTCTTAAACATTTTTAATTTCAGTGATATTTTTTCACCTTTGTACATGATGTTCTTGGCTGCAACGATATCCCGGTGCCAAACAGTTTTCAATTGAAATGGAGCTTGATCATCTTTCCAAATGCCAGTGTTTAGTTGCCAGTTTTTGAAACATACTTGAAGTTTTGACACTAAACCATCTGAATCCATTGGAATATGATCTGGGTTGACTGCATTCAATCGATTAACAAAATCAACTGCATATTTACGCAATTGTTGGTACACTCGGTTGCTTTTCATGGTGATAATGACGTTCGGTAAATTCCATTGCGATGACTCATCTTCACTTGGAATACAATGCTGACAAACTTTGTATCGATCGCTTTTGGTTCGTCGATCGAATGGCCGGAAACATTTTGCACAAGTTTGCGATGTATTGTATTCGTCGACCAATCGTACAATACAATTTCCCAACTTCTTAAAACTGTTCAATAGTCGTCGTAATCCCGGGCATCGCAATCGCTTTTTAATACCAATTGGTGAGTTTGGAGCTATTTGAGCTGCACCAATAAAAACGAGCGCCGACTTTTTTTTCGTCAGTGATGCCGCGATTTTGTCACTGGCCCGATTCTCTTCGATGTATTTATCGAGACGGAGTCGAATAAACTTTCTTGTTGTGTACACCGCCATAGCTGGTTTCATCATTTTCACATAATAAGCGATGTAACACATCCAATGTGAACGTCCTTTCGGCGATGGAAAAAATGCATAGCGTTTATAGTCGAGCTCCCGTTGTTTTTGCAACAATTCAGTCCATTGATCGGATTTACGCTTGCGTTTGCCATATTTCGCTTTGAAATGGTATTTTGGACCATCAATTGTGATGTTTTCCTGAGATTTACGAACAAAAAATCATAGAAGTAAACAAATGATAAATAAAGAATGAATTTATTGTTTCTTACCTCGTTGCCGGATCGAACGTGTTTGCGAACTGTGGCGTTCCATGTACGAACTCCTGGATCGATTCCAAGCACATAATCAAACTCAAAATTATTGTACTTCTCTTTGATGGTGTTGTTATCAAGTTCTGGTGTATTGCGTTCAGGCTTCACGAAACATAACGAAACTGCCACACTATCGGTTGCCACAGCAAAATCGAATTCCTTACCATTTCCAAGTTTCGAAATTTTTGGCATGTCAAATATTAAATTCCAATAGAAAGCTGGATTGCTATCGTATTCAGTTTTTTCAATGTTTATTGGCTGACCGCGTTTTCCTTTTGCCAATTTCAATGCTCCAAATTTGCGCGCAATCAAATAAAAAAGATGGATATCGATGCGGATATGTTTCATATCGAAATCGTGGATTGGAACTACTAAAAAATTCTTTATTTTTGGCGGGAGTGGAGTGGTCGGCATGACATTGTTGTTCGGATCGCGTCGATATTGGAACCAGCGTTGTTTCAACATTTCATATTTCGCGTGAAAATCGAAAATTTGTCGCTGAATGTTTATAAATATTGGAATGGTTTGGAACCAGCGATCACGAATGAGATTCTGAAAGTGTACATTGATTGGCAATCCAATGCCTGCTGCTTCGTTTAATAGAAGATCGATGTTCGCGTTTCTCTCGACTCTACTTTGGAACATTACGATCTTCGTCGCACGTTTTACATCCAATTCAGTGATGAGATTTCCTTGTCGATTCAAATTCAGTTCGTAGCGCTTTAGTGTGAAAAATTTCTTGATGCGACTGAATGCCCATACTTTGATGTTATTTTTCACGTTTGTTATGTACTGAGTGATGAGATGATTGAATGCGTTCCCCATGCCCTCGCGAGCTGGCCAATTTTCTGGACGAAGAAAATCAGGACATGCTTGCTCCACAGTTCGTCGAAATGCAAGCGGTAATTTGTGGTAATTTTCTTGTAATACCGAGGTGAAACATTCACCAATTACACCATTCACGTATTTATTGAATTCATCATTCGTGTATTCATCGGATTCACCTTTAAAAAATCGAACATTTTCATCGTCAAAGGCTTTGTTTGCTTTGAACAAAAACAGTAATGACGCCAGAGTCGTAATCATTGTGGCCGAAAGGCACCAGTATGTGACCTGATCGATGAATGGTGCACGATACCCTTCCCGCAGCACTTGATTTAGAGTCATCTTCAACGACGTACTGCGCCCATTCTTGGCTCTCTTTCTTCTCATCGTGACAGATCTATTGTACAAAAATTAAAGAAAAAAATACATCAAATATAGCATAGATCACAAACACAATAAGATATAAACACTTCTATCACAAATTAAATGAAACAGTAATGAAGAGCGCATTATAAATATCACCTCTTACCTCAACAAAGTGACTCTGTATTCTAAATCGAATGATGAAATTTATTTCCAACGTGACATCAAATATTTTGCCGATCGAAATGTTGTTGGAATATTCACAGTTAATTTTATCAACACTCTGTTATTTCGAAATTAAAACAAAGACAGTCACAAAACCAACTGTGAATATATCCATTCCACAGGGAACAGCATTCTGAACACACAAAATCGTTTTTGAAATGACAATAAAACCAATTGATCGCCCAAACCACGCTTCAAACACTCTCATATAATTCTCAAGAAATCCTGTTGAAAACAAAACAAAATTTTATTGTAAACAAAATCGGT